TGTTTATTTTTTGCTAGCATTCTTTAAAAAAAATTTTTTTAATTTACTTTTCAATTACAGTTGACATACAATATTATAGGGGCCTTTTTTTTTTTCTTTCCTTCCAATTTGGATGCCTTTTATTTGCTGTCTACCTGCCGTGGTTAGGACTTCCAACACTATGATGAATGACAGTGGTGAAAGTGGGCATCCTTGTCTTGTTCCTGATCTTAAAGAAAAAGCTTTGAGCTTTTCACCATTGAGTATGTTGTTAGCTGTAGGTTTGTCATATATGGCCTTTATAAAGTTGAGGTATGTTCCCTGTATGCCTACTTTGCTGAGAGGTTTTTCATACATGGATGTTGAATTTTGTGAAATGCTTTTTCTGCATCTATTGATGATGATCGAATGATTTTTATCCTTCATTTTGTTTATGGGGTGTAACATGTTAATTGATTAGCGGATATTGAACCAACCCTGAATTTCAAGGATAAATCTCACTTGACCATGGTGTATGATCTTTTTAAATATTGCTGAATTTTGTCTGCTAATACTTTGTTGAGGATTTTTACATCTATGTCCATCGGGGATATGGGCCTATTTTCCTTTTTTTGTAATGTCTTTGTCTGGTTTTGGTTTCAGGATAATGCTTCCCTCATAAAATGAGTTTGGAACGTTCCCCTCTTCAATTTTTTGGGATAGTTTGAGAAGGATAGGTATGTATTCTTCTTTGAGTGCTTGGTGAAATTCACCTGTGAAGCCATCTGGTTCGCGCCTTTGTTTGTTGGGGGAGGAGGAGGTTGATTACTGATTTGACTTCCTTAGTTATCTGTCCAGATTTTGTTTCTTCCTGATTCAATCTTGCAAGATTGGATGTTTCTAGGAATTTATGTTTCTTCCAATTTGTAAGCACATAATTGTTCATAGTGTTTCCTNGAGCTCTTAACCGACTGAGCCACTCGGCCGGCCCCCGGCATGAATATATTTTGAGGTTACATTATATTCAGTCATTCATTAACAAGTACTTGTCATATACATATTCCTGTTGTGTGCCAGGTCCTGTATTTGGGGCTAGGGATACAGCAAGGTTTTTTCTTCTTAACATGTCCCTGTCTGTCTCTGCATTTTGTGATACTTTCTGAGCCAGTTTGTCAGTCTTCTGAAGCACAGTTGCAATGAAGTCGAGCCTCAAGTTATATGTTGAATTTTCTAAGGCGAGTGTTTAGAGAATTCAAATACAAAGATATTTTCTAAGGAAGTTGTATTTTAGATAATGCAGGTAAGTTAATATTTATGTATGATATTGGATATTTTGTAGGAAATTTTGGCAAGTAAAGTTGTGTGTAAGAAAACAACAAATTTACCATTATGAATAATGGCATCTGATACCGCGTTGCTTGCTGTGTCCTCACTGACCTGAAAGACCATATGTATATATTAGTGGCCGTGAGCAGTGTTTAAATGCAAGTTAAAATGGCTGTTTTGTATCTATTTCACATTAGTGAAGATGCAGAGTTACTGTGGCGTTTGGCACGGGCATCACGTGATATAGCTCAGCTTAGCGGAACCTCCGAAGAGGAGAAGAAGCTCCTGGTGTATGAAGCCTTGGCGTACGCAAAGAGAGCGCTAGAGAAAAATGACTCAAGCTTTGCAGCTCATAAGGTGAGGTGCTGAAAGTTCCAGAACGGTTACCGTGTACTGCGCGTGTGTTGGTCCGTTATCCCTCATTACATAGAAAGGAAGTTCTGTTTTCAAGTAGGGAAGAGATTTATTTTTAGATTGTTTTTTCAAAAAGATGTTTTTTCCTTTGCATTCTTGAACATTTATTCTAACTTCATTAGTGTGTTTGATAAATTACTTTTGTGAATGCTTCGTTTTGAACAAAAATGTTAGCAGTTTCATGAATTATCTATATTTTTACCCCTAGTAGTACAAGCACTTGACAGATGTTTTTCTCATTTTCCTCGTCTTCTGTTTCTGTTTTATGAGACCACGTGTAACTTTTCACTTGTTTCTGGGTTTTCTGACTGGCTTAGAACCATGTTTCTCAGTGCATGCTGGGCAGGACAGGGGGTGTTGTTGAAACTGTGGATCAGCACCTCCCTTTGTCATGTTGGAAGGTCCTCAGTAGAGCCCCCAGGGTTCGTTCCTCACACATTCCAACTGCTCCCTTTGGGGGCTGCCCCCCCCCCCGGTTTATAATAAGGATAAAACAGACACAAGTCCCTTTAAATTTGCTAAGACGTCTCTTATGGGCCAGAGTGTGGTCCGTCTGTGTACCTGTTCTTCGTGCGCATAGGAAGAACACTTACTCAGCCTTGTTGGGAGGATCTTGTAAGTGTCATTCANGTAATTGAAGCAGTCCAGGAGAAAATTTTTTATTTTCTTAAAAGAGGCAAAAAGTATTAAGCCCCTCAAGATATGCTGATCCATTCACAGTACCTGTGTGTGTGACAGTTCACTTGTGAAATGCTTGACAGTTCCAAGCGGCTCAGCTCACATGCTCCTCACTAAGTCAGTGCTGCTGCCTGGCTTCATGTTCTCCTATTGATTCTCTGTACGAGGCACCTCCAGAACGGGTCGGTGCGCCCTCAGTACCCAGATGCCTTTGTCCTGCCCACGGCGCTTCCGGAGGCTCCCAGCGGTCTCGGCACCGCCGAGTATTATGGTGTGAAAGTCCTGCCTTAAATTGTAGGATGTTGCTGTGCTTACAGCCTTCTAGTGTCTAGAAAAATCTTAGACTATCTAGGAAACCTAGGTAGTCACTTTCTGCTTTATAAGCCCTCTATGGAGGAACTTCAGAAATAGTGCTGTTTACTTGCCCGGGGTGGAGTGTTCCATTCCTCTCACATGGCTAAGAGTACGCTTAGCAAGGAAGACTAGAAAATCTACGTTTACCAGCTTATGTATGCAGTATGTGACATCATTGGCTTTGTTTTTCCATTGACCTTTTAATTTGCTTTGAAAAAGTCTAAGAATTATGTTCTAGTGCATATTCATTTTAGGCTGAATTTACAATTTCACTGTATAGCTGTAGGTCAAATTAGTATCTCCATTCATAACGGCTCATTTTCAAATATTTTCAGGAAAAGTGCAGAGCATGAAACAAGTAAAAACAGCTGGTTGGCAGGTGTATGAGTGGTCTGCCTGCTCCCACCCTAGTGCTTGTGAGTCTGCAGCATCAGAGGCAGTGTGTTTTTTCTTATAAACTACACACTAAATGATTTCAGAAACTTCTGTTCAGAATCAGGAAAAGGCATATATATTTGTATGTATCTATATATCTATAGATATTTAGCTATTTAAAGCCTGGATACTATAGCTTATGCTACTGTAATGTATAATAAAGAAATTGGAGATAAATGATTTAAAAAGTTATAAATGAATAATACAGACAAAAATGATTTAAACTATTTTGAATTTTTCAGTAGATTTCTACATTTTTAATTACATGAGTGATGAGATGTAGAGTTCCTCGACCATGTTAAGGGCAGTAATTTCTGTCACTCTCCTCGGCAAGTTGGAGAAAAATCAATGAATAGAATTAAATGTATCTTTGCTGCTTACACCTGTCATGTGCACATTCAGACATACCATATCAGTTACGTTTAGTCTGATAAAGCGGGTTCCACGGGGTGAAATCAAGGCGAGGGCGGGGCTGTGTTCTTTCTGGAGGCTTCAGGGAGAATGTTTCCTGGTGTTGGTCAACTTTCAGGGAGAATGTTTCCTGGTGTTGGTCAGCTTTCAGGGGCCGTCCCTTTCTTCCACGGCACAGCCAGCAGTCACTTGGCTCTGACCGTGGGCCCCCTGTCACACCTCTTCCACTTTAGGGACTCCTGTTATTTTATTGGCCCCACCTGTCTAATCCAGGATACTTTACTTTTTTGAGGTCAGCTTATTAGCACCTTAATTCCATCCACAAACTTAATTCCCCATTGGCATGTATCCTGTACGTTTCCACAGCTTCCAGGGGTTAGGATGTTTGGGGCCATTGTTCTGCCTACCACAAATATCCACGAAGAGTGCTGAGACTACTGCTTACTCTTTTTAAGAGTCTTTGAGTTGTTATAACCCAAATTTGGAGAATTGGCCACTGATAAAAATAAAGAATAAAAGGGAAGCAAACTTAAGAAAATTATCCAGCTGTGGGAATATTATTAAACTCCAGTACCTAATCAGATTAAAGTAGGATTAAAGAGGGGAAAAATATTTAATTTTAGGGTTTCTTTGCTATTATTTAATTTTTCTTAAACTAGCCTGATTACATCGTGATGTTAACTTAATTAAAAAACACTTCACTTGGGTTATGTCAAATTCATGANGAAGCTTTTTAGTTTGATAAAGTTCCACTGCTTTATTTTTGCTTCTTTTGCCTTTGCTTTTGGTGTCAAAGCCAAAAAAATCATTGCCAAGACTGATGTCAAGGAGCTCATCACCTGTATTTTCTTCTAGGAGCTTTGCGGTTTCAGGTCCTATGTTCAAGTTTTTAGTCCGATTTGAGCTAATTTTGTGTATGGTGTAAGATAGTGGTTCAGTTTCATTCTTTTGCATATAGCTGCCCAGTTTCCCCAACACCATTTTTTGAAGGGACTGTCCTTTCCCCATTGTATATTCTTGGCTCCTTTGTCATAAATTAGTTGACCAAATATGTGTGGGTTTATCCCTAGACTCTCTATTCTGTTCCATTGATCTATGTGTCTGTTTTTATGCCAGTACCATACTGTTTTGATTACTATAGGCTTGTAGTATAGTTCGAAGTCAGAGACCATGATGTCTCCAACTTTGTTGTTCTTTCTCAAGATTGCTTTGGCTATTCAGGGTCTTGTGTAGTTCCATACAAATTTTAGGATTATTTGTTCTATTTTTGTGAAAAACATCATTGGAATTTTCATAGTGATTGCATTGAATCTGCACATTGCTTCGTGTAGTATGAACATTTTAACAATATTCTTCTAATTCATGGACATGGAATATCTTTATTTGTGTCCCCTCGATTTCTTTCATCAGTGTCTTATAGTTTTCAGTGTACAGGTTTTTCATCTCCTTGGTTAAATTTATTCTTAGGTATTCTTGTTGATGCAATTGTAAATGGGATTTTTTTTTTTTAAAGATTTTTTTTTTTAATTAGGGAATTGGGGGATGGGAACAGCGCTGGGGAATTGGGAGAAGAACAGACAAGTTGCTGTCCTTTTGTTCTTCAGTCTAGTTGTGGAGGACGTTGCTTCACTGGCCCAAGTT